GAGGGGCACTTCGCCCGGGATTGCCCCGAGGAGGAGGGGATCCATTGTTATCGGTGCGGCTGCGTCGACGTAACCGTTCGGACATGCCCCAAATGCTCGGGAAACGAGTGAGGGAGTCGAGAGCCGGGGGCAAGTCGACTCCTTCGCTTCCAGCCCCTGCCAATGCCTCCCCGAGCGGGGAGGCCCCGGATACAACACCGGCGGTCGTGTATAGCCCCTTCGGCGCGGAGGGCCCGGCGCCGCTCGCGTTTCTCCAGATAGATCTGGCCGGAAGGGAGGTGCGCGGGTTGGTTGACTCCGGATCGAGCCGCACGTTTATCGGTCCCGAAACAATCCGCTGGCTCCGAGCGGCGGGATGGAGCTTCGCCCCGACCACGGGGCAACGAGTGACCACCGCGACCAACCAAACCACGCGGGTGAGGGGGGAGGTAGAGGCGCCCGTGACGGTGGAGGGGCGCACGCGAGGGATGCGCGTGCACGCTCTACCCACGTTGGCGTTGCCGTGCATCCTCGGGGTAGATTTTTTGAGGACCTTTGGCCTGGCGGTCGACTACGCCTCGGGCACGTGGCGATTCGCGGATGAGCCCGCGGGCGGCCGGCCCTTCGAGAGCGCCGCCATGGGGACGGTGGCGAGCGTAGTGCCGACGCCGCCGGGGGACGAGGGGGAGGCCGCGCAGGAGGACGGGGCGAGTGTCACGGCCGCGGACGCGGACGATCCCGCCGACCCAGCGACGCGCGGGGAGGGGACGCGGTACGGAACGAGGGAAGCTCCGCTCACGTGCGTCGGGCTTTGCGCGCTCTCGGCGGAGGAACAGGCCCGCCTGTCGGAACTCTTGAAACGCGAGATCGAGGGGGACCCCCAGCGCCCCGAGGCGACGACGCTCGCGGAACATCGAATTGACGTAGGGGATCACGCGCCGATTAAACAACGGTACTACCCGGTATCGCCCAAGATCCGCGAGGCCATTTACGAGGAGGTCGACAAGATGTTGGCCGCCGGGATTATTGAGCCGTCGCGAAGCGCGTGGTCAACCCCGATCGTGATGATAAAGAAACCGAACGGCACGTATCGGTTCTGTTTGGATTTTCGCCGCCTAAATAGCGTGTCGAAGAAGGACGCGTACCCGTTGCCCTATATGAACGCGATTCTCGACAAACTGAGGTCGGCCCGGTATATATCGACTATTGACTTGAGCCAAGCGTACTTCCAAATTCCGTTGGAACGGAACAGTCGCGAGCTAACCGCGTTTACCGTGCCAGGAAAGGGGCTCTTTCACTTCACGCGGATGCCGTACGGGCTGACCGGAGCGCCCGGCACCTTCCAGTGTTTGCTCGACCGGCTAATAGGGCCCGAGATGGAGCCCCACGCGTTTGCCTATCTGGACGACATCGTGATCGTCACGAAGACCTTTGACGACCACCTGGTCTGGCTACGCCGCGTATTTAGTCGCATCCGCAAGGCCGGCCTCACAATAAACCCGGAGAAAAGTAAATTCTGCCGGTCGCAGGTGAAATATCTCGGGTTTCTTGTACAACATGATGGTCTACGGGTGGACCCGGAGAAAACGGTCGCTATCGTAGAATATCCGGCCCCGCGTAACGTCTAACAATTACGACGATTTATCGGAATGGCCTCGTGGTATCGACGGTTTATACCGGACTGCGCGACACTCCTCGAGCCTCTGACGCGATTACTTAAGAAAAACCGGCGATGGGAGTGGGGGTTGGAACAGGGGGACCCCTTCGAGAGCTTAAAGCCCCGTTTAATTTCCCCGCCCGTGCTGTCGTGCCCCGACTTTGAGGTGCCGTTCTCCGTGCAGACGGACGCGAGTACCGTGGGACTGGGGGCCGTTTTAACCCAAAATATCGAGGGGATGGAGCGCGTGATCGCCTTCGTGAGCCGCTCGCTGTCGGACGCCGAGCGGAATTACTCTACCACGGAGCAAGAGTGTCTAGCCGTGATTTGGTCCATTAGAACAGTGCTCGGAATTAGTTGCCCTTTTCGGCCAGATTCCGTAGGCAACACCTCCTGTTCCCCCACTACGCTGAATATCGATCGAAGGCCGAGCCGCCGTTCGCACGTGAGACGCTGTTTCTCAGGAGCGACTCTATATGAAAACTGTGTTAGAATCGTATCTTCCGTCAATTCGTTATTAAAAAGAATTTTTTAATAATTTTTATTTTTAAATTTAATTAAATATTAAATGTCATATTATTAATATATTATATATGTATGACATGTTATAATATACAGGGTGAGTCAAATGTATGGAAACCTTCGGATAACTCGTCTGGATTGAATTTTTTTGAAAAATGGTAAATACAAAAGTTTTAGGATTTTTCCCTGGCTATCCGATGGTGACCTTGAATTTGACCTTGACCTTGACCTTCAAGGTCATTTTAAGGTCAACTTGTTTTTTTTAAATTGGAACCCCTATTTTTCATTACCGATTTGGAAAGAACGGAAAATTTTACGTCCGAATATGACCTGGACCACGACCTTGACCTTGAAATTCAAGGTCATTTCAAGGACTTGTACACCCGGCCAGTTAAAGCAAGGTGAATTACCCCGGCCAGTTAAGGCAAGGATTCGTACACCCGGCCAGTTAAAGCAAGGTGAATTACCCCGGCCAGTTAAGGCAAGGATTCGTACACTCGGCCAGTTAAAGCAAGGTGAATTACCCCGGCCAGTTAAGGCAAGGATTTTTACACTGAGCTAGTTAACGCACGATGATTGATCTCGTGCTGTTGAAACAAGAACTTGTTGGTCTGGCCAACTTAGGCAAGGTGAGCGGATTAATCTAATTTTAGATAATCTTAAGTCCTGTTATTACAGCAAATGCTCAAAATGCCCTCCACCTTCTGTTTGACAGTATCCTAGGCGAAAATAAAAGTTTT